TTGTTATTAGGAAAAACTTCAAACTAATCTAAGAAGCTTGGAGAAGAAACTTCAAGTTTTCAAAAAAAATTAAAGATGTCAGTGACAAGGAAGCTACACATATAACGGTAGGTCATCAACAGCAGTAATGTGTATGTGATGTTTGTGTTTGTGTGTGTGTATGTGTATATATATGTATAGTCTATATATATAGTCTATATATATATATATATATATATATATATATATATATGACCTCTGTGTGTATATATTTTTTATTCTCTCTTAGTCTCAGGCTATGTAAACAGAAAGGCAGATAAAGGAGGAGTTTGAGAAGCTTCATCAGTTCCTCAGAAAAGAGGAGGCGGCCAGGATTGTGGCACTGAAAAAGGAAGAAGAGGAGAAGAGCCAGAGAATGAAGAAGAAGATTAAAGAACTGGGTAATCAGATACAGGATATAAGTGCTAGGATCGGAGAATTAGAGGAGAAGCTGAAGGATGATGCACTGGTTCTGCAGGTAAGACATTTTGTAACATCATTTGTAGGAATATTGAACATCATGAAATAATCTATGAATTAAGTACATCATTTTGTTTCATTTACAGGATTTTCAGAAAACATGTGAAAGGTAAACATTTATCTATAAAAGCAAAATGTTGCATTTGGCCATTTTTGATGTAATAAAAGTAGGGCTAGTAATGTGCATATGTGTGTTTTCAGAGCTCAGTACACACGGGCAGATCCAGAACTGGACTCAGGAGCTCTGATTGATGTAGCCAAACACCTGGGGAATCTGAGGTATAGAGTGTGGGAGAAGATGAAGGATCTCACGCCTTATTGTGAGTAACAAATAGCTGTGTAAAGTTTTCTGGTGTTCTGAAAATACCAGTTAACGGAGCTGAATTTATGAAGTTATTTTCAATGTCAAAATAAACCGAGTATCTTGATTTTTTAAAATTATATATATATATATATATATATATATATATATATATATATATATATATGTATATATAAATATAAATATATAAAACTCTTGTCGGAAGAAAACCTGGAACCTTGAAAATACCCGTTGCCCTTTACATTGTGTTTAAATTCCATGAAGAATGGACCAAAAGAAACAACCTAAAATGGAACTAATTTTAGGTTGTTTCTTTTGGTCCATTCTTCATGAAATTTAAACACAATGTAAAGGGCAACAGGTATTTTCAAATTATTTCAAAAACTGAAAAATGGACAAAAATGGAGATACAAGGTTTCGTTCCAACAACAGCAATATATCTAAATTTGCCAGTAACATTGGAAATTACTCTAAGAGGTTTATATTTCAAAGACAAGAGACATGAAAAGCACATCCTTCAAAAAAGTACCCTCTTGATGTAATATATAAGCCAATTGTTCTACATCTCAGATTGGTAACAAGTCCAAAATTTCAGTGCAGTTCTATAATTCTGTGAGCAGTAAAATTCAATATAATGTAACTTAGAATCTCATAGGATTTTGAAACGTTAAAAATGAATGACTAAATCTATTTGTAGCACAGTTTTGAAACTTTGCATGGCTAAATCAATTAAATACATGTTTTTCTTGGATTTTCTGACTGGCTTTCCAGGACCTAGCTGAGCTGGGTGTGGAACAACCCTACGGAGATCTAACTCTTTACACCAAAATATGTTCTGATTACAAATGCATGTTATGATTGCACTTCTCTCTGTTCCTCTGCAGTTCCAGTGGTTTTGGACCCAAATACGGCAAACTCCTCCCTCATTCTGTCTGAAGATCTGAGCAGTCTCTCATGTTCTTCTACAAATTCTCTACTTCCAGAGAACCCAGAGAGGATAAGTGCATATAGTGGGGTTCTGGGCTCTGAAGGGTTCTCCTCAGGAACTCACAGCTGGGAGGTGGATGTTGAAGAGAATGAGATGTGGATCGTAGGAGTGGCTTAAGAGTCAGCCAACAGAAAAGAATCTCACAGAGCGGTCCCAGAGAATGGGTTTTGCTGCATATGGAGGAATACTGATGTGATTATAGCTGGAACTTCCAAAACTTCCATTAAGACTCTCTTGACAAAACCAACCATCAAGAGAATCCGTGTGACGCTTACCTGGGAGAGCGGTCAGGTGACTTTTTCCAACTCTGACAACAACACAAACTTGTATACCTTTGCACACACATTCACTAAGAAGATGTACCCATACTTTTACAGTGACAGCAAAAGCTCCCTGAAAGTTCTACCTGCCCACATCTCAGTCAAGCAGGAGTGGTATGGGCTAAAGAATCAGGCTAATTAAAGACATCATCAGGGTGGGGAGGGTTACTTTAACTTTTTTGAAAAGATTAGTAATTACCAACAAAAATAATCTCTAACCTAATCAAAAGGATTACTAGTAACACAATCTGATTACTTTCTGTTACTTTTCGATTACTGTCCTGTTTTATGAAGCATCATGATTTTATAGCCAATGTGTGAAACACCCCCTGGTATTCGGGGGTCTGATGTTTGCTGGCTACTCCAGCTTTGGGGGCTGCTAACTCATTTGCCACAGTGGCACTGCTGCTAGCTTCAATGGCAACAAAGTATATGGTTTCACAATTTTTTTGGAAACACTCTTTCTTTGGGTAAAGTGGTCTTCTTCACATTAATTAAGATCTTCTTAGTCTTCAGTTTGAGAAATGAGTAACAATTCACTTTTTCCTTCAATCTCTTGGGAAACTGGGCAAGTTTTCAGACTTACTTAAATACGCAGTTCAAGCCATTGTAAGAGGCCTGAGAATCTGTGTATACAAATATGAACGTTAATAGGATTTCCTATTCAGTGTAGGTACCCCTGATGACCACAAGGTGGTGACATTACTGTAACCTCTCAACGTGTTGCCTGGAGTCTAAACCACAAGACCACAAAGCTTTCCTGCTCAACTGCACATGTTCTTTAAAGTTACTGGTTAAAAGCCTTGACCTTTATAACATATCGCTGTTGTTGGAACAAAACCTTGTATCTCCAAAATGGTAACTTTACAGGAGAAGGAAAAAACATGTTCTACTTTTAATGTAAGTCAATGGAAGCAGATTTTTTTCCAAGTCATTTTGTTCCATTTCTTTTGGTCATTTTTTTTTCATGAAATTTACACAGATTGTAAAGGACAATTGACATTTTTACATTATGTCAAAAACCGAAAAACGACAAAAATGGAGATACAAGGTTTTGTTCCGAAAGCAGTGATATACATGTTTTAAGGTAGTTTTTTTAGAAACATTTATTTCCAATTTTTGTTTTTAGAAAAAGTTAAATTTTTTTGTAGGAATGAACTTCACTATTTCTTTCTGTGTGAAACCTGTTTTTAAACATTTTAACATTAGTCTTTAGATCATGTCTTTAATAACAATGTCTTTCAATTCAAACTTTTCACAATATATATGTCCCATAATTATGTGTTCCAGGATGTGATGCTTCATTTATTTGTACCACTCCTTAATGTTGCACAGATTTCAATTGTTAACTACACTAGTTACAGATTGTAATGCTTTGTCTGAATAATTGCACTATTAAAATTAATAAAATGATTGTGATATTAATCAACATTATTTGTGAGATGCATTTCAATTAATTCAAATATACTGTATTACAAACAATAAAGCACTAAATTACATTAAGCAAAAAGAAGCAAAAAAAAATATTCATACATTTTGATAAACACGTTGTACATGTATTTCCTTTCACTTCTGTTCATCTCTCCATCCTCACGTTTGTTGTGAAAACTGCAATTCAGGGAAGTAGGAAGGTCTTTTAGACTGAGCACTGAAATGTTAAACAGCATACAGGTGAGGTGAACGGTGACGTCACGAAAAAATCATGGCGCATTTACAGAAGGTGTCATAACCTGACGTAATGTGGTTAGAGACACTGACACATCAGACTGCAGATCACCCGCCTTATCTGCTCATCCTGCTCTCTCTCTCTTTCTGGACCAAATTGATGCAAATGAGCTTTGTGGCGGCCAATCAGATTATTGATGCTCGACGCGATGGACAAAAACATGAAAATACGCTGTAAAGCCTGCCACGCGCTGGACTTTACTATGTCAGAGTTATTGTAGTTTTTAACTTTATTGAGCTTTTCCTTTGGGTTTTTGATCCCAGTTTAGTTTCAGTCACTTTTAAGGGAGTGTTAATTGTTTTGGTTCTGGATTCTTTTTCTGAAAAGTACCAGTTTTAGTTTAGTTTCAGTTTCAGTTTCAGTTTTACTTATTAGTCTTATGATGAGCGCTGTGATAGCAGGTATTTGATGAGGGTAGAATAAAATTAAATCAGTAGACTGAGCTCAGCTCAACTCCAGCTTTCCTTAAAACACAGAAACGAACTTTTAAATCGTTATTCTCTCACTGAAAATCTTTTTCTCAGTCATTCCATTTTGTTTTAGTTTGTTTTTCGTTTTGGTGTTTTTGAAATTTGTCGTTTTTATTGCAATTACAGTTAATGATCACACCTTTTCACACTTTTTCACTGTTACTTTTGGGTTATGGTTTTAGTACTGAGCCTCTAAAGTGCCATTGTGGGAAGAATTTTTGCGTTCACTTGCAGTAGTTTTGCATCCCATCGCAAATATTTTGCGTTCTCTCGTAAAACACATTGCATTTGCGAGGGAATACAAAATCAGTACGAGGGAACGCAGCATCATTTTTTTAACCAAGCCCTCTTAGGCTTTGTGTATTTTAGTAATTGTTTTTTTTTATTATTATTATTGTATATTATTACAATTATTATGAACTATAATAATACTGTATTACATTCAAATTATTTTTAAAGATCAAACTTTTATTTAAAAAAAAATATATATTTTTAGCAGTTGCTGTTCGACAACCCTGAAATCTGCCTGCCCCTCAACACCCCCCACCCCCGCCAACTCCCCTCCACGTCCCTGATGTAGTCAGCAAACGCATTGTTAAGACTTCATCGCGAGGACTCGCCTAACCGCTGGAATGTCGCTCCATCCGGCGCCCTTAACCCCGCCTGTCTCCCTCCCTCAGGCCGCCTCCCTGTAGCGGATCTCGTTTCCAATCTGCCGTCGCTCTGAGATCAGGAGCTCTCCTTTACCACGTACTGTATTCTTCCCTCTGCGCTCTCCTCCCCCTCAGTTCTCTCTCTCTGAGAGTCCTGACTGAGTGCCACAGCTGCAGAACCTCAATCTGACTTTTACTTTTTACTTAACTTTACTTTCAGTTTCGATTCAGCTGTAATGGCGTCGCTACACCAGGACCTCTCGTGTCCCGTCTGTCTGGAGATCTTCACCGACCCAGTGGTTCTGTCCTGCGGTCACAGTTTCTGTAGGACGTGTTTACAGCAGAGCTGGACGGAGAGTTCAGGAAGAGTGTGTCCTGTCTGCAGGAGACGGTCTTCTAAAGATCATCCTCCTCCTAATCTGGCTCTGAGGAACGCCTGTGAGTCCTACAAGCAGCAGAAGGGAAGCAGTGATTCAGGTTCTCAGGGTCTGCTGTGCTCTCTGCACTTTGAGAAGCTCAGTCTGTTCTGTGTGGATGATCAGAAGCTGGTGTGTGGACAGTGTGTGTCTCAGGATCATCAGTGTCACAGTTTCTACTCCGTCAGCAAAGCTGCTGCTCCACACAAGGTAGGAGAGAATGGGGTTTGTTTCATTTTCTAAAATATATTTCAAATATTTGATATTTCTGATTGTAGTTTGCTGCTGTGATGGATTTTTTTTTTAAACAAACCTCATATAAATAAAACCCTTAAAAAACTAAGTTGCCTTCTTGTTTAAGAAAGCATTTATGTGGCTTAAAGGGGAATTCCACTGAAATTTCTGTATAATCCAGTGGTTGAGATATAAACAGAGTCATTTAGAGTGGTTTGGTGTGACATGGCTGATTGTAGAGGCTCACATGTCTTTACAGTGGTGGTGATAGGAACCAGGGGTCGCCATGTCTACAACACAAATATAGACATTTTATTTACTATCCAAACCACCAGTGAACCTACACAAGTCTTCTGAATTTCTACATGGAACGATGATGGTGGTAAAATAGTCTTAATTCTGAAATAATAAGTGTTCTTTTTGCTCTACAACACCCTCAATGTATCCCTCCACCAAGGGAAGATTAAAATAGATCGATTCAAATACATTTTAGACTAAAACTTTATTACAAACTACAGTAAAACAGTGTCTCAGACATCAGGCAGTGTATTTATACGCATTTAATGTAGTAACTTTCTGTGAGGGAGCTTTTAGAGGTGGATGTCAGGTTGCTATCACCACCACTGTGAACAATTCTGACAGAGCATTTCACATTAAACCTCTCTGAACGACTTTGTTTACATCTTAACAGTGTATTTATGCAGAAATATTTAAAATCCAAGAAAAAAAAATACAACTTAAAAAGTAAATAAAGATCCCTATACATAAAATAATAGACATGAATGAGAATGAATGAAACATTTTTCAAGATATTTAAGAGATTGTACACATTCTGACACAGGTAAATGTAAAAGATGTAATATATAGGGGAAGTGGGGTAGAATGTAACCTCACCTCTAATACAATGCTACTGATTTTCAGTGCCATAACATAAAATTGTAAATCCTTTGTGGGAAAAGGAAAGATTTAGTATTTTTCTCTTGGTTATGATGAAGAAATGTTCGATATTTGCTAATATTTTAAATGAAAAATCAGAAGGATAATAAATTAAGGATATTTTTAGTTTTATTTTACATAAATGTACAATTCATGAACCTGTATGATAAACCATTTTAAGCCATGATGTATTTATTGTGAAGTAATAGTGATGAAACCTGATGTAAAAATACTCTAACAAGCAAATATTTCATACATATTTTTCCATCACAGCTTGATTTTATGGGGTGCTTCCTGAATATCTGTTCACTTGACAAAAATTATACACAGATCCGCAGATACAGGTGGGGTGGGCATCCTACCCAACTCCCCCTAAATGTATTAAGGTCATTATTTGACTACCTTTGCTTTCTAAGAGTAATATTTGTGCAACTTCTGACATGTTTTTCATTTCTTTTTCTTTACTTTCTCTGTTTTCATATTTTCCTTCAGTGTTGGTGTAGCTGTTTAATACTTTGTGTCTTGTTAGAAAAAGATACATACACGTCTAACAGAGCTGGAGAAGAAGCTTCAGATTTACCAAAAATTTAAAGACATCAGTGACCAAAAGGCTGCACACATTAAGGTGGGTCAGCGGTAGTAGTCTTCCTATGAAACCAGCCTTTTTAACCATACTGAACACAAATAACTAAAAATGAAGAATATATTTATATGATAACATTTTTCTGTAGGCTGCTGTTCATAAGGCTACATGACCGCTACATAAGCTTGTCCTAACAACTGACATAACCCTATATAAATGTTTATTTCAACAGGCGTCATTCACTATAAAGGTTATGTTTGCCAATTTTGATCAAAGTCAGCTATAGTAGCCTTTATGACAAATGATGCCTGTTGGAATTACAGTTATGTAGAGCTATGTCAGTTGTTAGGACAAGCTTATGTAAGTGTCATGTAGCCTTATGAACAGCACCCTACAGTAAAGTGTTACCAAAAATATGTATTTTTTTAATATATTCTTTTTTTTTGTAATTATTTATATAAATATATTTTATTGACCTGCTGCCAGTCTCAGGCCCAGAACACAGAGAGACAGATAAAAAAGGAGTTTGAGAAGCTTCATGAGTTCCTCAGAAAAGAGGAGGAGGCCAGGATTGCTGCTCTGAGAAAGGAGGAGATGGAGAAGAGCCAGAGAATGAAGAAGAAGATTGAAGAACTGGACAGTCAGATAAAAGATATCAGTGCTAGAATTGCAGAATCAGTGGTGAAGCTAAAGGATGACGCTCTGGTTCTGCAGGTAAAAACATCATAACAGCTGTTATGAATATGAATAACATGGAATAACCTGAATAGTAAACACTTTATGACCTTATTTACAGGACATCCAGGGAATGCATGAGAGGTAAATATTATTCTGTACTGGCTTTTTATGTGGCTATTTTCTATCTTAAAAAACAAGGGAAACTAATCGTGTGCTGTACCTGTGTGTTTTCAGAGCTCAGTACACAAGACCGGATCCAAAACTGGATTCAGGAGCTCTGATTGATGTGGCCAAACACCTGGGGAATCTGAGATATAGCGTGTTGGGGAGGATGAAGGACCTCTGTCCTTACTGTGAGTAACAAACACTTACATTTGTAATACTTCTTGTGAGGTGTAGATACCCACTGATGTCCAGTAGGTGGCAACATATCACAGCCATGGGTGCCATTTATATCTGGCCATTTAGACATTTAGGCTCCTTAATCCCAGCGCAGTGAATGTGCATGGCACAGTGTGATAGCAGTAGAACTAGGCATCAATGACTGCGCCAGCAGTGACCAAAATAAAAAGCATGTGAACTTAACTTGCTCCTTCCTGTTAATCACATTTATAGAGCCAACTTACTATTCTTCATTTTGAACGTATTATTATTCTGTGCTGCAGCTTTTGAGCTAAACCTTCAAGCTAGTGGTCTCCAATGCACCGTCCTACAGAATCTAGTTCTGACTATAGTCTGCTTCACCTGCTCCAGCCAGTTATTAGATGCATTAGTGTTTGGTAAAGAGGGGGGCAGCATTTTAGATACAGGCTGGAACTGGACTCTGCAGGAAAGTAGATCTTCAGGAGGAGAAACTTTGCTCGACCATGGATCCTAATCCATGTGTTGGACCCAAATAATGTGCTTGTGCTTTTTGAACTGATGATCCGACATGCGGTTTGTGTACAGCGTTCATTCAAAGGTGAATTTTATCCCATAGGAAATCTTTGAAATACCCAGAAAATTCAGAACTAGCTTCCTCAAATGATGTCACAATGGTGGCCCCTCACACTGCTCCTCGTAGATATTACATGCAGACTCACATACATAATAGCAACCAATCAGCAACCACAACAGATATAGTGATCACCTGCAGTGGTGCTTTGTGAAGCTTGTGAAATGTTTTATATTTCTGCATAAATTTGATCTAAAACTTTATCAGATTTTCACACAAGGCCTAATAGTAGATAAAGAGAACCAAACTTTACCAAACACTAATGCATCTAATCAAGGACGTGTGAAGAAGATAACTGGCTGGAGCAGGTGAAGCAGACTATAGTCAGAACTAGATTCTGTAGGACGGTGCATTGGAGACCACTAGCTTGAAGGTTTAGTTTTAAAAGCTATGAGACAATTGGATCATTTTCCCCGAAAAAATAAATGAGCAAGTCTAATATTTTTGGCTCTTTTGTTTAATTTGTTTAATTTTCTCTTCATCTATTATTAGGACTTGTGTGAAAATCTGATGATGTTTTAGGTCAAATTTATGCAGAAATATAGAAAATTCTAATGGGTTCACAAACTGTCATGCACCACTGTAGCAACACTGGAACACCATAGCAAATATCTGGGATACCTTAGCAACCACCTAGCAACAATCTAGCCATCTGAGTAGATGAGAATATCGCTGTCGGAATGAAACCTTGTATCTTTAAAATGATAACTTTATAAGAGAAGGAAAAAAACATACTTTAATGTAAGTCAGTGGAACCAGACTTTTTTCCCAAGCCGTTTGGGCTCTTTCATTCGGACCATTGTTCATGAAATTTACGCACAATGTAAAAGACAGCAGTCATTTTCAAATTATGTCAAAAACTTGAAAAATGACAAAAATAGAGCCACATGGTTTTGTTCCACCAGCAGCGATATGCAATTACAAAGAGGAGAGGCGGTGTTTCTTTTGGTATGTTTAATTTTTTCCTTATCTAGCTAGCTGTTCTCTTTGATAAAGCAAATTCAAATGCCTTGTTAGAGAGGACAAATGCATAGAAGGTAAATTTACTTTTTAATTATTATTTTGACACCACAGTTGTCTTTTCACATGAAGCACAAGCACACTATGTGATTCTGTCAATACATTTTCATTTAAATAAAGCTAATTATAAAACGTATAAATCTTTTGTGTAAATGCCTGTACTAGTATAATCAATGACAAATCAATTTTAATTTTGAGCCCAAAATTGCATGTTTGAGAGAGATATTTAAATGCAAACATAGGAATACATAGATATTTTGCATATTATGTTTTCATTTTAATTTTGCGGCTGATATGCTTCTACATGATGATAGGCTGCAGCCCCTAAAGACCATTTAGTTAATACGGCTTCGTTCACTAAATGCAGTATACGAGCATGGGGGCATAATCACAACATTACTTTCTGAAATGAACTAAATAAACTTAAAATGGTAATAAAACCAAAAATATTCACCCACAATTTATTGGTGTAAGTGTATTAGCAGCTAAGTACAATATGCATTGAATAATGGTAGAATTATACAAGACAATTTCTGATATATGATGAAAACTCTGCCCAACATAAAACTGTTCTGCTCTTCTGCAGTTCCAGTGATTCTGGATCCGAACACTGCAAACCCCTCCCTCAGTATATCAGCGGATCTGAGCAGCGTCTCACCCTCACCTCTCACCCAACTTCCAGACAATCCAGAGAGGATGAGTGGGTATAATGGAGTTCTGGGTTCTGAAGGGTTCTCTTCAGGAACTCACAGCTGGGAGGTGGAGGTTGGAGACGGTGAAGTGTGGGTTGTAGGAGTGGCTGAAGAGTCCGTCAGCAGAAAAGAATACTGTGTGGCAGTCCCAGAAAACGGGTTTTGTTGCATATGGAGGAGAGAAAATGTAATTTATGCTGGAACTGCTGTTAAGTCTGTTGATGAAGTTGCAAAGGCACAAACCATCAGGACAATCCGAGTGACATTAAATTGGGAGACAGGTCAGGTGATTTTTTTCTCAAAAGATAAGAACAAAGTCTTACACACCTTCAAACGCAGATTCACAATGAAAATGTATCCGTACTTTTATAATAACAGCACAAAATCAGTGAATTCAATGAAGATTCTGTCTTTCCCTTCAAAAGTCTCAATAAAACAGTGACTATAGGAATTTCATTCATTAATCAGTTTAATACGTTCACAGAGTTTTTCAGGGCTGTGATTGCAGTGTAAAAACTAACAGTGTGTTTGTCAATGTGTCAGTCATATGTATACAATATTCATAAACTAGGCATAAGTCAACACCTGGAGACTAAACCCACAACCAGATGTCTCTCTCAAGGGTACTGATTTATCCTCCTCATTACTTGCTTATCATTACCACCTGTTACATGTCATCTATTACATGATGATAAAGAGAAACTCCATTCATTTTCCATTATTTCTGCATGTCAATGCAGTCAATCATCAAATTGTTGTAATGTAAAGTCATTCAGAGTGGTTTGGTGTTAAATGGTTCACTGTAGAGACTGAGGGCGTTTTGACACTAGAGCTTTTTACCTGAGTCAGAACCGCTTTTTTACATTTGGTGAAGAGTAAAAGCTGTTGTCGAGTCTGGGAGCGATACACTGACCCGATCTCTGGGTCCTCCTGAAATCAGCGGTCTGGGATTCGCTTTCAACAGACTCTGGTGCGCTCTGCAATAATGACCAGAATCAGTCCTGGGTGCGGACTCAAGTTTTCAGGACAAAGGGTGAAAACGCCATCAGATTTCTTTACAGTGGTGGTGATAGAAACCAGGGGATCGCCATGACTGCAACACAATTATAGCCATTTTATTTGCTATTAAAACCATCAGTGAAACCTACGCTAGTCTTCTGAGTGTATATATGTAATGTTGATGATGGGAACTATTTTTCTGTAACACCCTGCATGTACAAAAGAGGAAAATAAAGCTTAAACAAATTACGAAAGCCTAACAGTACTTCTACTTAAGTTGTTATTTCAGTCCAGTAGGAAGGCTTTTATTGTACCATGTCCCTCGGCTCCTCCACCCACCTCTATATGTCACTATCTGCGTTTAGCCAATCCAACCAATGCATTTTGATTGACAGTAGCTCTGACCAATCACTTATGCGTCAACATTTTCCACTGGTCAATGAGAGATTTTTTTTCCACTGGTCAATGAAAGATTTTCCTCGCCGACACACAGACGTGAAGGAGCTGTTACAAACTACTGTTTTTCCAAATTTAGTTGCACTACTAGTCCATTACTAAGCCCTACTAGCTTGTGAAAACCAACAAACACAAGGTGGATTTTTTGGGCCAAACCAACAGCAACCACATGATATATTGCCACAAATATCTGGTTATGTGTGTGAGTGAGGGAGCAAAGTGTGTTTGTGTGTTGTCTTGATCAAGTAACCACTTAATACTAGTAATCACTGACAGTTGCTGCATTTATGAATTATACTTATGAAAAATCCCAGCAAAAACTTGCTATCTAGTCAACTGCTGTTAGCTAGAACTATAAGTGCTATATGTACAATGGCTAAAACTACACTGCAGCTAGCTTTAACTACACTGCAGCTAGCTTTAATTACACTGCAGCTATCTTTAATTACCTGCAGCTATCTTTAATTACACTGCAGCTAGCTTTAATTACACTGCAGCTAGTTGAAACTACACTGCAGCTATCTAAAACTACTATGCAGCTTGTTGACTGATGATGCTCTGTCTTCCCCTCTTACCTTCTTTTTCTCTTTTTCTTTCTTTCTTTCTTTCTTTCTTCCTTTCTTTCCTAATATTACGCAAAGAAGTGAGGTGTCTTCACTGCTTTCATAGACCTGTCATAGAGATCTGCATAGGACTGTTTTTTCAGTCCCACTCCTGCCCACTTCCGCAAGATTTCATCCTACTCCCGCCAGAGCCATAGTCATTGGGCAGAGGGCAGGAAAACACCCTGGACAGATACGCTTTTATAATAAATGCTTATTATAAAGAAACAATAATATTTTAAAATATCTATGCTGAGATTTGATCAGTATTTTTCAAATAGGAGTTCTGGATATTAACAAAATTGCCATTTTAGAGTCATCTACATTTTCTTCATTCTAGACACATCGTCAGTCTAGAATCTAGAATACAATCTTTCAGACCAAGAGTTATATAATGCAGAGCAGTCAACTCTCACAATGCAGCACGGTAGCCATTTGTCACATTGTCTTTGTATTCAGCTGTCAACACACAAAACTCAAAATAACAATAAAAGCAAATCCTATTTATGACTAGTTGATGTTGTTTGTTGTTTGTTGTTTGCACATTCTAGAAGACTACCCATTATTACCAATTACCAATTACTAATTAAGATATTGGAAATATTTTGGTGGCTGCCACTTGCTCAGTGTTTCAGTAGTGGCTTTAGATGCGTTGTATGCATGGCTGAGCCATGTAAAAGAGAGATTAAATGTACCCATATTGGATCAATAATTCAGCTACAAAATGAGCAGCAACGACAACAATCTCAGGTTGCATTATGTTTGAGAGACCTGATGAGCCAACTGAGCACTCCTAGTACTCCAGTTTCTTCTGTCATTAAATCAGAAACCCCGCACAGCAACTCTGTGTAAAACAAACCGGAGTAAGTAAACTAGGTAAGTTTGATGGCACGCCCAATTTATGTTGAGTTTTTTTGCTACAACGTTCCATTTATTTTGTCATCTCTCCACCCATTTCTGATAAATTGCATATCTCCTTTGTCATCTCACAGCTCACTGGTAAAGCCTTAGACTGGGCCACTGCCGTACGTGTAGATGCTCTGTTTTCGATTATGCTCTTGATTGTTGGCCGCTGGCAGCTGATGGAATGAACCTGCCCTACTAGTTATTTTCCGTAATGGTTTTCATTCAAATATACTTGCAGAAATAGCCTGCAAAGATGATGGACTATCAGTGGAGGAACTTGTAGCTTTAGCTATATGCCTGGATCAGCTTAAATCTGGTCAACACCCACAGGACCAGTCAAGTGTCATTAAGTACTCCACAAGTCTACCTCGTAGTTCTAGAAATTCAAATGACACCCGAAGAACTCAGTGATCATGTGTTTCCCAAACCCATGCAATGGGATGTGTCCTGCTTCTCCAAAGAAGAAAGGCATCGCTAGTTACATGGGGGTCTGTGCTTGTACTACAGTGTAGCTGGTCATGTTCTATGAGACTGCCAGATCTGCCCATTCAGCCCTCCACATGCTAAAGTTGTGAGTTACCACAACAAAGTTGGTTTCAATGCCATTTAAATTACCGGTAACTTTGTTTTGCCAAAATTCCTCTTCTGTGTTTTCAGCTTTGATTGACTCAGGAGCTGAGGGGAACTTCATTCATGCGCAGATCGTGAAGGACCTTCAAATTTCCACCGAGACACTTAAACATCACCTTAGACTGTCTGCAGTAGATGGAGATCCAGTTGGAGAAGGATTTATCACTCAAGTAACCAAACCATCTGTATGTCCACCAGTGCCCTTCACAGTGAGGAGACTAGCTTCTTTGTACTGAACATTTCTAAAATTTACCCGCTTACTCAGGCAGAGGAGTTGGCCATGGAAGAATATGTTAAATAGGCTCTTGAACAAGGTTTTATCTGCCCCTCCACTTCTCCAGCTGCCCCTGGATTTTTTGTCAAAAGAAAGGATGGTGGGTTAAGACTGTGTATAGACTATCGTGGTTTGAATTCCATTATGAAACCATACCCAAATTATCTACCGTTAGTCCCAGTAGTCTTGGAACAACTGCAAGGCACTTCTATGTTTACCACATTTGACCTCAAGAGTGCCTATAAGCTAGTTAGAATCAAGCAGGGGGTGAATGGAAAACAGCATTTCTCACTACTAGAGAGCTCTATGAGTGCTCTGTCCTGCCATTTGGTAAATGTAATGCGCCGTCTGTTTTTCAGGCATTCATCAATGATGTTCTTAGGGACATGTTGGTTCATTTCATAATTGCTTACATTGACATTCTGATTTACTCTCCTGACTTAACTACTCATGTACATGTTCGCTTAGTTTTGACCAGGCTACTTGAGAATCAGTTACATGTAAAGGGTGAGAAGTGTGAGTTCCATTCCTCCTCCATCTACTTTTTGAGATATATCAGTAGTACTGGGGTTGTTATGGGTGACCGTAAGATTGAAGCCTAACTAGCCAATACCCACTTCAGTAAAGGAACTCCAAAGATTTCTGGGATTTTCTCATTTCTATAGGCCTTTTCTCCACAATTACAGCAGCATTGCAGCACCCCTTACTGCTCTGCTAAAAGGCAATGCTAAGAAAAAAGTTTGGACACCCCAGGCTGATCAGGCATTCACTGTCCTGGAGGAGGCTTTCGCATCTGCCCCAGTCTTGAAACATCCTGATCCCTCTCAGCCGTTTATAGTTGAGGTCAATGCTTCTGAGGTGGGCATTGGTGCAGTGCTGTCCCAGCATGTAGGCACTCCTCAAAGTTACACTCACTAGCCTTCTATTCTCACAAACTTACCCTAGCAGAAAGAAACTATTGTATTGGTGACAGAATTGTTGGTTATCAAGCTAGCTTTCGAGGAATGGCACCACTGGTTAGAGAGTGCTGTTCATCCTTTCCAGGTCCTTACTGACCACAAGAATTTGAAGTGCTCAGCCAAGAGACTCAACCCACATCAGGCTTGGTGGTCATTAATCTTTTCCCATTTCCAATTTAACATCACACATCAACCAGCGTCTAGACATACCAAAGCTGATGCCTCGTCTCGTTTATATACTAATACAGAGCCTAACCATCAAGAACCTGAAATTATTTTACCTCCATCTGTCATACTTGCTTCCATTAGATGGGAGATTGATGACAAAATAGAGGATTTAACTACCAGTAATCTCATTCCAGACCAATGTCCCCCTGGTAAAACCTATGTCCCAGCCTCCTACGGAGATAAACTCATTACATGGGCTCACCCATCTTTATATTTAGGCCATTTAGGTCACACTCAAACCCTTCAGCTGTTGGAAGGTAAATATTGCTGGGAAAATATGATTTCAGATATTCACCATTTTGTGGCGTCCTATTCAACCTGGTCCTGATGAAGACACCCAAAACACCCAGTCCAGTCTCATCCATAGTCACATTTGGCTATAGATTTTGTAACTGACTTGCCCCCATCACAAGATAAAACCATCATGCTCACTGTCATTGACAGGTTTTCGAGAGGATTTAGATTTAGCCCTTTGTTCGTCTCAGCCCCCTGCATTTCAAACTGCAGAATGTTTATTTGATCATGTCATCTGTCTGGCATCCCTGAGGATGTTGTGTCTGATGGGGGTGCCTAGTTCATCTCCCAAGTCTGGACAGCATTTTTTGAACGTCTTGGAGTCTCTGTTAGTCTCACATCAGGTTATCACCCCCAATCTATTGAGCAGTGTAAGAGAATGAATCAAGAGTTGAATAAATTTTTCAGAACTTCTTGTCATAACAACCAGATTGGGCCAGATACTTACCATGGGCAGAGATGGCACAGACTTCCTTTGTAAGCTCCACTAAAGATCTGACACCCTTCCAGTGTTTCTTAGATTACTAAACTCCCTCGTAGAAGTGATATTAAATGTTGTGTTCAAAGTGTGTTTATGTGCTTTTTGGGTTTTGCTGTGTGGTTCACCGTAAAGAGAATGGTGAAAGGTAGTCTTTCCCACTAAAGCAGCTGCGTTCATGTGGTTTTCTGCTGGAGTAAGTAAAAGATCACTTCTCATGGCAGAAAAAGTGGCTTCTCCCACGTCTTCTACGCTGACGCCACAGTATTACCAATATGCTCTAGTAGGAGGAGTACTGGATTACACACACATTTTGACAGTGCTCAGTGAAAATGCATTGCAAATTCTGATACAAAGTCCATTTGTTGTAATAATTAACTTTTCTCCTACTGAGCAACTTCCTGCACACAAACAAGAAAAAAGTGCAT